ACTTGTGAGCATCGACTACTGGTACGATCGTCTACTAGTAATATCGCCTTTTGGTACGATCGCCTACTGGTACGATGAACTACTGGTACAGTCAGCTACTGGTAAGATCGACTACTGGTACAATCAGCTACTGGTACGATCACCTACTGGTACGATCGACTACTGGTACGATCGCCTATTGGTACGATCGCCTACTGGTACGATGAACTACTGGTACGATCGACTACTGGTACGATCGCCTATTGGTACGATCGCCTACTGGTACGATGAACTACTGGTGCAGTCAGCTACTGGTACAGTCAGCTACTGGTACGATCGACTACTGGGACAATCAGCTACTGGTACGATCAACTACTGGTACGATCGACTACTGGTACGATCGCCTATTGGTACGATCGCCTACTGGTACGATGAACTACTGGTACAGTCAGCTACTGGTACAGTCAGCTACTGGTACGGCCAACTACTGGTACGGTCGACTGCTGGTACGGTCGACTGCTGGTACAACCGTCTACTGGTACAGTCGTCTACTGGTACAATCAGCTACTGGTACGATCAGCTACTGGTACGATCGACTACTGGTACAGTGGTTATAGGGCGAAGTATCAGCAAGAATCATAAACGTTCCGCCCTGAACTGACCTGCGATGCGGTCAGGGATGTAGACGGGGCTGGGGCTGGACAGACGGGCAGGGAGGGTCATGCTCTGCAGGGCAGGAGTGCTGGGTTTGCTGCCCTCCTGGTTCTGACCCTTGTCCGTCTGGGTGCAGCTGTCCCTGCTGCCCGTCTTCGAGTGACCTGCGGTCATGGGGGTGGAGGGGAGGACGGGGGAGGGAGAGGAGGAGATGGACTCCGTCCTGAGAGAGTCTGCACGGAACTCTGGACCCAGCAGGACCCCTGGTGGAAGACAGAGGGCGTCAGTGGACGGGGTTCAAACAGCACCTGCTCTCACGGCTCTGTGGTTTTTACCCAGACTTCCTTTCCAGCTGCTGTCCCTGCGCTCTTCAGTGATTGGTGAGCTGCTGAGTCCCAGACTGTGGGACAGAAGTCCCGAGCCTCCGGTGTTAGAGATGGACATCAGGGACTTGGAGGGTCTCATGGTGGACGGCAGGTCCGACTTGATGGGCTCCTTCCTGGAGCGCTGGTGGAGAACCTTGATCATGGCGTCTTTCTCTATGATCTGGGCGTGAAGATTCTTTATCCTGAAACGGTTAAAGAGACATGAACTTTATAATACAGTACTGACACAGTACTGACACAGTACTGACACAGTACTGACGCAGTACTGACGCAGTACTGACACAGTACAATAATCTACTACAGCACATATTGAATGTTTTTCTGGCCTTAACACTTGCTCATATTACATGAATGTTTTTCTGGCCTTAACACTTGCAGACTTTCCAGGATCCTCCAGCAGAGGGAGCCATAAGTAACAGGCTCTGTGGCCAATTCTACCAGGAATCTGCTGACCTGACTGAATTAGACAGAGGGGGGTGTGTGGGGGAGGGGTGGGGGGGTGGTTTACCTGCTCTCCATGTCCAGGCAGCGTCGATTGGCCATGAGGATCTCCTCCTCCTCCTTCTGGATCCGAGCCTCCACTGACGTGTCGTAGCTGCTGCTGGGAGAGTGGCTGATCACTGCTGCAGATGTGTCCCTGCAGAACAACATTAGAACTCTTACAAGACTCTCCCTCGAACAGAAAAAAGGTCGACATCAGCAAAAACAAAAAAAAACAAAGCCCAGAACCAGCGTTCTCCAGGTTCCTCTGAAGTATTTTGTTGTGTTTCTGCGTCTGTGTTGCCATGGTATCACTTAATTAGAAATGATAAGTGGTTTGATGACATCATATCCTGTTCGACTGACAGGATATTTATGTCATACATCAGAACATGAGGTCTGGTTTGAAATTGCGCTCCCTGCTGGCTGGACGTGAACATGCAGATCTGCTGGACGATGAAAATCCTCGGGTGTATTTCCTGTGTCCTACCTCTGGGTGGCGACTGAAGCGGCTGCGTCCAGAGCGAACTGCCTCATCACGCTCTCCTCCAGGTACTTCTGCTCCCACTTGGTCATGTCGGCCTCCAGAGCCAGGATTCGCTCCTCCTTCTCCCTCAGGTGCTCCATCAGTACTGTGGCGTTGTACTCCGACGGTACTCCGCCGTTACCCTGGGAGTTGCCCTGACGCTACACACATGAAGGACATGAAGGACAATGAGACGCTGGACCAGCAGACACAACAACATTAGTCAGTGAAACACTGCACGGTGGCTCCACCTGCTGCATCCGCAGTGACTCCAGTTCTCTCTCCAGTCTGGTCCTCAGTCGGTGCTCCAGCTGCTCCCTCTTCTCACAGGCGGCCTGCAGCTGAGCCAGAGCCTGCTGCATCCGCTCCACCTTCTCCACATACACCTGCTTCTTCTTCAGCTGCAGGGGGGGAGGCAGGGGAGGCAGGGGGGGGGGATAATAAAGAATGAAATGTCAAAGTCAATGTATGAACACTGTGGTTTTGGTCGTTTCCAGTGAATATTAAAAAACTCTTTCATTGTTAATAAAGTTCTATCTAGAAACAAAAAAATGAGAAAGTTACACAAGACGTAAAACATGAGGAAACGTTGCAAAAGTACAAAAATAAAACAATATAAAATATATAAAAATATAGACAGAGACATTTAAACACCACACATTAACCGTCGATGACGTGACGGCCACAGGGTGCAGTACCACGTTTTCAACGCTAATTCACCACGTAACATTTAGAGGGGCGCTGTTTCACACATCACAAACCGCCCTTTCACAGCGCGAGAGGGGACGACCGCCACTCCTCCTCCCTCCTCCCTCCCTGTCGCAGAGAGAAACACCGCACATAAACTGAAAAAAAAAAAAAGTATTAAAAAGGAAGTAAAGACAGTGAAAATACTAGAGTACAACTTTACTCTGTTCAGGAGGAAACATTCTGTAAAACCACCAGGTCAGCAGGGGGCAGCGGTGTCAGACAGCCGAGCAGCTCCAGTCCAGCAGTGAGGCAGCAGCACACACAGATTTTCCACTTTAAACTAAAACAGTGGTTACCAGGAGACACCAGCAGAGGGCCAAGAACTCCCAGCAACAGGAAAGTGACCTGATTTAAATGGTTCTCCACCAAAAACCAGGCCAGAGTTTCTCAGGCTGCAGATCGTGTGTGTGAATTTACACAGGATTGTACTTTTTACAATTTAAAAAAAAAAAAGTATATGTTTTTTCATGGTAGAGCTTTAGAGCTGTGTTTCCCAACGTGGGGGGCGGGGACCTCCAGGGGGCGCAGAGCTTCAACATTTTCTTAATTCACTGATAAATTCACACTGATTTCTCTCTCGACAGGAATTCATTTGAAAGTGAGTTTTGAAGCTCAGGTCATGTGACCCGACAGTTCCCACCTCTTCTTCCAACTTGACCACCTTGGCCTGGGCGTTGTTCAGAGCCTGGTCCCTGATCTCGATGTGTCTCCTCTGGTCCTCTGTGGTGGAGCGCAGAGAGTTCAGCTCCATCTCCAGCTTCTCCTTCTCACGCAGCGTCTCCTTGTCTGAAAACACACACGATTCTCAACACAAAAATGTCGCTGTTCAAACGTGTGCGTGTGTGTGTGCGTGTGTGTGCTTCACTCACGCTGTATAAGCAGCTGTGAGATGGTTTTGCGGTTGTCCTCAGATCCTTCACACTCTTTAGCCGCCAGCTGTTTGTTGGCCGTCTCCATGCGCTCTGAGAAACAAAAATAAAAGAAATATTAAATGTTTCTAAACGTTTGCGTCACTTCCACCGTGGGACAAACAAACTTCTGACTCTGAGGGTTTTCTTCTCTCCGACTCCGTGTCTGTCAGTGATTCACCGCTGGGACCTGGTCGCACGGTGAATCATAACAAAACAAAATCAAACAAATGATTTGGGGGTTTTTTTCGAGGATGAGTCAACGCTGGAAAAATGAAGCTGCTTTTTATTCACTGACTTCAAGATGGACGTTAAAAATGACTGAAGGACACGACCTCCACTGACATACAAACATAAATATATATATATACATATATATGTTTATGTATCATCTGCTATAAATGACTGAGTAGAAAACCGTCCCTACAGAGAGACTACGTTCAGTGGGGGGTCTGGTGGGGGGTCGGGGGGGGGTTATTGCCCCCACTGCTCTCTCACCTCGGAGGTCTCTGTTGAAATCGTGCAGTCGGCGGACCTCCAGCTCCAGTTTGTTCCTCATGGTTTTCTCCAGAGACTCCCTCTTGGAGGAGGACTTGGCCAGGTTCTCGTAGACCTCCGACACCAGCTGGATCTCTGTCTCCAACTGCCCACAGCCACAGAGGAGGGGGGGGGGAGGAGTATTATTAGAAGAGTGTGTTTGAATTAACTGACCTCACAAAAAGTATAGACAGAAAAAACATTTTGTGGTTCTGGACTGAAATACCACAGGGTGTTTGTACTGCAGTACATGTTGAGTACTACCAAGTATTTAGTTAATCAATGGTTTTTTTTAATTGAATTTAAATGAGGAAACTCAACGTCTTTTTTAAAGACTTTTCCAGGGTTTCCAGAAACCAGGTATTTGGTTTAAATCCAGATCCTTCTCCAGGCGACTACACGTACTTCACGTACTTTGACGTGTACTCTGTGGGTGATGAAGTTTTTTTTTTTTTTTTTACCTTGTGCAGTTTGGTGACCTTTTCGCGGTACGTCTCCATCTCCTGCCTCATCATCCTGTTCTCCTCCGTCAGCATGTCCACCATCTGGTGGGCACGAGCCATCATGGCAAAGGGCTCCCCCTGCAGGTGGGAGAAGGAGTGCGGGTGGGGGAAATGTCCAGCTTGAACAGGCATCTGGAGCTGGGGGGCCACAGGTCCCTGAAGCTGTTGTAGCTGTTGTTGTTGTTGCTGTTGTTGCTGTTGTTGTTGTTGCTGGTACTGATGATGTTGCTGCTGCTGCTGCTGTTGCTGATGCTGCTGATGCTGCTGCTGATGGTGCATCCTCGGGGTGGAGCCATAATGATCATGTGGGTACCCATGGGCCCTCTGTATGGGGGGGTGCAGGGGCCCCAGGTTGAAGGGCTCGCTGGCGTGGTGTGACCCAGGGCTGTGTGGACTCCTGGGCCCCAGGCTGTGGAAAAACTCCCCCGTGTTCTGTGGGTGCTGGTGGTGGAAGGAGTGGTGGGAGGAGGTGCTGAGCATGCTGCTGAGGGTGGAGGACTGGGCGCGGGACAGAGAGCCCACCGAGGTGACGGAGGAGGTGGGACTGTGCTGGTGCAGGGGCCGCTGGGAGTGGACGGAACCTTCTTTGGTGGACCTGAGGACAGAGAGAAGAGACCAGGGTTCAGCTGATCCTGGGTCAGATCAGAGGAGATTTAGAGACGACGACTTCAAAGTCAACGTTCTGCTCCATCGTGACGTTTGTCATAATCTGTAACCGCGCTCTAATCCACCTGTGGGGGGGGCTGTTCCCTCTGTCAGGTGTTCCTGCCTCTAGTCCTCAGAAGAACCAGATCAAGTCCTGACATGTCTGGACCTGATGATGATCAGAACTGTTTGGCTCATGATTTAATGATCCTCAGTGGAACAGGACCGACAGGCTCCGCTCTTCTCCGCCCCCTCTGCCCCCCCTCCACCCCCCCCGACAGAATCTGAGACTCAACATTTTTATCTTTTATTTCTGAAAATCGTGTTCTGGAAGGAACTCACAGGGCGGGAGTTAAGACGCAGCAACAAGCGGTTAAATGATTTGACATTTATGTAACTGATGGACCGGGGGGAGTTGGGGGGGGCAGCTTAAATAAATTGTTTTTTGAACGGCTGACTTCCTCTTTATCCACACTGTGACGGTGAGAGGCTGGAGGACCTTCCTGGTTCTTCGTGTCCACGTCAGCGGCCGCGTCTCTAACGTCAAACTCTTTGACAGTTTCACTTAATGTAAAAAAGAGAAAGTCGTGACTACGGACGGACGAAATGGAAAGAAACGACAGAGAAAGACAGAGTCTGTCCCTCAGTGATTCTTCACCAACATCAGAGTTCTCATCAGGAATGAAAATATGAGAAAATATCAATTAGAAACTGACAGTAACTCAACAACACACACACACACACGTGAAACTGACAGTAACTCAACAATATTTGGACACACACACACATGCTGTAGAAGATGAAAAAAGTTTCTGACCTGAACGATCCGTACTCGGGCGGGGGCTGGTACCTGACAGGCAGCACCTCCCTGGAGTGTTCCCTCCCCCCTCTGTGCTCCTGGTAAAAGTGTCCCCCTGGTTCCTGCTGCTTCGTGGGTGAGCCCATTCCTTTAAAGGGGTAATCTGGGGGTGGGCCTCGATGCTGAGGCTTGTAGAAGTCCCCTGGAGGACCAGGAGGGGGCAGCTGAGGGGAGAGCGGGGCACTAGTCACGGGTGCGTGGGCCTTGACCCCACTGGTGGCCAGAGAGAGCTGCATCAGCCGCTCACTGAGGGAGCGCACGTGTCCCTGCTTCAGGTCCTTCAGCCCGTCGTCCTGGTGAACCTTCCCCGCTCCGCTCACGCGTTGGACGGTCGGACGGCCCTCGGTGCGCACCTTGTTGTTGGTCATCCCAGTGACATAGAAAGCTGCCCCCACGGAGGCAGGTAGAGGGGGCTGCTGAGGCTGGTTGTTCTGCTGCTGAGGCTGAGGAGGAGGAGGTCCGTGGCCTCGGAAGTACTGGGACTGCACCTTGGCCTCCTCGTACGTGGGGAGGTCCTCGGGGTTAAGGCACTGCCCTTGGTTTCCACCGCCTCCACCGCTACTACCACCTCCACCTCCAATACTACCGCCCCCTCCTCCCCCTCCCACTCTGGAGGAGCCCAGCTTCTCCAGGCCGCTGTCCGTCTGCAGCTCTTGTCCCTGGGGCTCCTGACGGGCGATGTGGGGGCTCATGGAGTGGTCGTCAGACGGACCAACCTGACCCTGCCCTCCGTAAACCACTCCTCCTCCACCTCCAGGTCCTGCTCCTCCTCCACCTTGTTGTTGCTGCTGCTGCTGCTGCTGCAGTACATAGTTGCGGTTCATCTGCTCCTGCAGGAGGCGCTGCAGTACGGTGCTCCCGCCGCCTCCTCCTCCAGCGCCCACGCTGTTGTTGCTGTTGGATGACTCCTCGGCCGCGGCCCTCATCTCTGCCTCGCGCCGGTCAGGCACCACATGGAAAGACAAGCTCCGCCCACGGTCGACACTCCCTGAAAGAGAGAGACAGACAGAGGAGTGGACGCAGTTGGACAGAGAGGAGACAATGTTCATAACAAGAGGAACAAAGTCAGGATGGACAAAGAAGAGGAGGAGAAGTGAAAAAAAGTCATTGACCATCCACCAGCATCGAACACCAGCCCTCACACACAGAAGACCCTCCACTGCACAACAGTCAGACTCCACACCAGCAGCAAAACTGCCAATTTGAGACAGTGTGCTAAACAGATTGAAATATTAAATTAAAAATATATGTAAAAAAGTAATTAATAATAATAATAATAAATAAAAACTTCCCTGAAGCAAAAATGTTTCAGAAACTGATGTCAGCAAAAAAAAAAAAAGGTTGTGTTGTTTGTGGAACAAATCTTTGATTCACTGCAGTGAGTGTTGTTTTGATTTATAGTCAACCAGATGACAGACCGGGTCAATCATCAGACAGTTAACTAACTAACTAACTAACTAACTAACTAACTAACTAACACACATTTCCCACACATCAACCCCAGAGATTTGAAAATGTCTTCAGTTTGTGATTAAATTGTTAATGAGAAAAGGCAGAATTTTCATCTTCACTTCAACATGTAGTGTTGTACCGGTGAAAACCACAAGGTGTCCTCAGTCAAACTGACAACAGCCGATAAATAAATACTGTAATCTCTCCTGTATCAATCTCCTCGGTTATTGATCAGTTATTGATTTTTTTAATCACCAATTCCCAGTCCAATATTCCTGGTTCTTTTTCTTTTCTTTCTTGTCATTTCACAATAAATCGCAATATATCGTATCATTGCGATACGTGTTGTTTCTGTCCAACACACAGCCCTGTTTATACTGTTCACAGCTAGGTGGCGTGACTGTGGTTTTCCTCTGACAACATCACATGTTCGTGTGACACTGTGTTCCACAAAGTAAAGAGAAATGATTACATCTAGCACTTTCTGTAATTCTTCTCGCTCTCAGTGAAGAAGAAGCTTTTTTGCGAAACATCTGTAGGTGAATAAAGAATATTCAAGAAAAGAGACAAATGTCAGCATCAACCAGGGGGCAGCACATCACAACAAAGACAGATAATGACCATCACATTCACATTCCATATGTCATAGGTCAGTGGTTCCCAAAGGTTGGGGTGAGGCCCCAGAGTGGCACAAGGCTGGACGTGGTTTTATCTGCGGTGGAGAATTTTCTCTGGTTTGTAACTGAATTTACTGTATGGTCAATGACAATAACAATAACAAGGGGGCGCTGTAGGAGAAGTTTGGGAACCACTGCTATAGTTCAACGTCTGAAGTATTGGTTTATGAAGCTGCAGTTCCACCAGTTACCAGCGCACGTTCAGGCTACCTGAGCTGTGAGCGCACCCTGCAGGATCTCTGTGTATAACATCTGAATACAAAAAGTATTCAGAGGTAGAGGCAGGTAGGTGGCGCTAATGTAGCTGCGTGTGGAGGTATACCAGTGTAAAGTGTAGTTAGTGATTTATTACCTTTATTTTCTCCTTCTTACACACGGTTTGAATATTTAAAAAACAAACAAACAAACAAACAAACATCTTCATCATCACTTGTTATTCTAAACTGTTATAGTTTCTAATCTCTACCACGTCTACAAACCGGTTCAAACCTGGTGTGAAGCTAAACACAAACATCTGTCATGAGTATGAAGAGTCCACAGAGACATATATGTACTCATATATGTGTGTTTATATTCAGATCCAACGAATCCTCTGATCTCTGGAACCAGGAACTGTTTAAAGTTTCACTGAAGTCCAATAATAATATCGTCTCTCATTCTTTAGCGGCACGCTAACATGACGCTACATGAATCCTGTCATTTTCTCACACTGCCACATTCTTTGGCCATCGCTCACTCAACCTGTGGATCATTACTTATATTACAAAATAGATTCAATATGATATATTCAGTTTTTCCTTCTGTCAGAAACTAAAAACAGTCGTTTTTCCACGGTCCCTAAAAACGAATTCAACGTCCACTTTGTCAAAATGAAATGAGTTGCAAATGTTGTTGTTTACGTCCTGAGCGTTCGTTGGAAAAGTAACATCCGAGGTCGGGAAGAACGTCAAACCTGACAGAAACTGAGGCTGAATCCCTGACGGTCGCTCCTACCTGTGTGGTTTCCTCTCATAAATCCAAAGAAAAAAAAATCTAGAAGCTCCGTCAGCAGTGGTCTGAGCGACTCTGTCGTTAGCACCCACACCTGCCTGTCTGTCTTATACAGGTTTGAAGTGACGCACCT